CGAGCAATCTTTTCTGTCTTGCTTTACCAATATGGGTCTGGGAACATGATTGCTTAGACATAGAAACTTATCTAAAAGATAAATCTCCAGACTAAGTCTGCGTGTCTCAGGCTCTCTGAACCGTGGAGCTGGGTGAATCTCCCAAACCTGACCTCAGCAGATCTTCAGCATCATCCGCCAGCATTGGTGCTCCCTTCTCCTCCCTGCATTATCCACGCTCCACTTCCACCCAGCGAGATGTGGGGGTCACCAGCTGCACTGTGCTGAGCTACTTCACTCCTGCTGGCAGATTCTGCTCAGAGGAGTCCAGAGAGGGGAGATCTGTGGCAGGAACAAATGGGTGGTAGCTCTAGGGTCCAGACCCTCCTGGGCCTTTGGACCCGTGTGAGACCAGAGAAGGGTGTCAGCTCAGGTCCAGAGTCATAAGTCACAGCCTGGGCATGGTCCAGAGCTGAACCCAGACAAGCATGACATTCATACCAACCCCAAGCCATGCACAGATGTGTCTCATGTCTCCAACAAAAGGCTTAGGTTTTTGAGGCCAGCGACTAGTTCTTGTTCCTCCTTCTACCCCTAACACCTTCAGAGCAGTGAACTTGTCGATTATGAAAAATAGTAGGCATGGATATGGGAGCCCCAAAGAGGGGAGTGAGTAGGTATGGGACTGACATTGGACTTGCTATCAGAACAGGAAAAGGACGAGAGATGGGAGTCAAATCAGCTGATATTTATTTTGACAGGAGCTCTGGCAACAGATTTTGGAGGACAGCTAAAATGAGGTTGCGGCGGGCGGGCGGGGGCAGGTGAGGGAGTAACTCATTTGTGTCCATTGCTTAACACAGAACTGCCTGTCTTTGCTGCTTTTAAGGGCCATGGTCCATGCAGCTGCAAAAGCAGTTCCTGTTGAGGGGAGGGGAGCTGACTCCCTGCCTGGGAGGAGCAGAACCTTATCTCCAGCTCAGGAGGACTCACCTTTAGCCCGAGTGTTACTTAAGGTGCTGGGTCACCAGTGCTACACTCATTCCCTACGGTGAAGTCAGGCGAGCAAAAACCCTTTGGACAAATGCCACCAAGAGAACACAACATGGTTCTTATTCTCAATCCAGATTTCCCCAGATTGTAAATTAGGTGGGGCCTTTCTGGGCGACACTGACTTCAGGCTTCTAGGTTCAAAGCACTTAATGGGAGGGTAAGTTGTCAGGGGAAATCACAGCTCATCCATCCTGTGGGCTAAAACTCAGGCTGCAGGCGAGCGAGCAGCCTTAACTTGGCATTTCCACATTCTGCCTCAGCCATGAGAGACCAGCATCGCCAGACATGCAGCAGCTCCGCCTTTTCTCAGCCTGTGACAAACTACCCGGTTCGGCCACATCTGCCCAAGTGGCTCAGGAGGGAGTGTTCTGGCTCAGTGGAATTAGAGAAAATAGTTCGCTATCGATAATCAATAGTGAACAAAGTTCTAATTCAGTGACTCATAGATTACTGCAGCTGTTTGTCACGGAGATCTGATCCAAGGTTCCCAAACGCCGATCCATGGACTGGTTGCATCAGAAATCCTAGGGAGCTTAAACATGTTTTGTGAGACCCATACCTGGAGCTCCTGCTTCAGGAAGTCTGGGTAGATGTGTGTTTTTAAGCCCACCAGTGAGTATGATGGCTGGCTGGGTTTGGGAACCTCAGCTCTCCTCAACCCAGTCATTTGCTAGGGAAGCCAATACTCACAGAGGAGATGTGGCCCCAGGACCTCCAGGCAGTTAGAAGTGGAACTAACTGGTCCCAGTGCCTGTTCTGTTGACTCCCAAGCCCAGCTTTCTTTCCGTTTGCTCTCTGCCTCCGCCAAAACCTCACTTGCGCTGTGCAGCTATGTCTGCTGCTACTGGTAAAGCACCAAACCAGTGGAGCACAGTGTGGGGGTCACTCAGCATAAGAGCCAGGGTCCATGATGCTGGGCATCAGGTGGCTCTGGGGTTCCCAGTGTGGACCCTGGCGTGCGGATCAGTTAGGTCTTCCTGGGACAGATGAGGGCAGGGAGTAAAATTGTCTTTCATCTGCCTCAGGGGCGTTCCTTATCCCCTACACCATCATGGCCATTTTTGGGGGGATCCCACTCTTCTACATGGAGCTTGCGCTGGGCCAGTACCACCGAAACGGGTGCATTTCAGTATGGAGAAAAATCTGCCCGATTTTCAAAGGTAACCAAAGGCTTGAGTGGGTGGGTTTTCCAAGAAGTGGTGATTTCCATCATTGGGCGGGAGCTGGGGACCTTCTGGAGTCAGGTCTTCGGTCACCCTGGAAGATAACTTGAGCACAATAATTAAGTTTTGACTGCTCAGGTGGTAGGAGACAATTAAAGGGAAATAGAATAAGTGACCATCCAAAGTAAACTGAATAGAAAAGCTTAAAAGCATTAACAGCGCACACACAATTTCTGAAGCATGTGATCTTGCAAATCCATGTAAGTCATTTTACCATATCACCACTTTTCCACTGCCTCCCGGAGTGGCAGCCCCCCCACCCCACCCCTACCCCCGCAGTGCCCTCCAATGCCCTGTTCCGTCTTTCACTGTTGGGCTGCCTTTTACACTTGGCCTCCCTCACCCTCTGTCCCAGGGATTGGTTACACCACCTGCATCATTGCCCTTTACACTGCCTTCTACTACAACACCATCATGGCCTGGGCACTCTACTACCTCATCTCCTCCTTCACCGCCCAGCTGCCCTGGACCAACTGCAAGAACTCCTGGAACACTGCCAACTGCACCAACTACTTCTCGGAGGACAACATCACCTGGACACTCCACTCCACGTCCCCTGCGGAGGAATTTTACACGTAAGTGCCTATAAGTGAGGGGGTGGTTTGTTGAGGGCGGGCCACACCCCTGGGGTTTGGCCCAGGCTGGATCTCTACCTTGAATGCTCTGTAACCTGGCTGTCTGTGCCATCTGGTCCTTTCCCATGTGCCATGCCAGGCAGCTCTGACATGCCCAGAACGATCCCTACTGTCTCATTCCAAAATTCCACCCCTGCTCCAACCTCCCTTCTTCCTGGGCCCCCTCCCAGCCGGTGTCAGGGAAGCCAAGCTTCTGGCCACTTCAATAGTTTGAATACAGTCACAGTGTCTAGTTCCATGTGTTCACTTCCTAAGTGGGATCTACCCTTTGGAAGTAGGGACTAGGGAGTATTCTTTAAAGCTGGCTTTTGGCAATGGCAGGCCAAAGAGAGTGCTCGTTTGGGGTGGGGAAGGGGTCTTCTACCGACACATACAAATCCTCATGGTCCTGAAGCCAGTCATGCTGGTTGGTCAGGCCCGAGCCAGGCAAGGGGAGACCGGAAGACTGCCTTGGGGCTGAGCATGTTCCCCGGGGTTGGTCGGCTGAATGTGTTGGTCTCTCCTTCAGGATGGGCAGAGCCCATCCCAGCTCTTGCTGCGGCTTAGTGACCACCTGGTGCTGGCTGTGCCGTGTCCATTCCTTCTCTTGGCACCTCCTGCAGGTGTCAGCAGCTGTGTGCTCAGGTCACTATTCGTACCATCTCCTGGGCCTTTCTGTCTCTTTCACTCCAGGCGCCACATCCTGCAGATCCACCGCTCTACGGGACTCGAGGACCTGGGCAGCATCAGCTGGCAGCTTGTCCTCTGCATCCTGCCAATCTTCGCTGTTATCTACTTTAGCATCTGGAAAGGCGTCAAAACATCTGGCAAGGTGAGGAGACTGACTGCTGATCCAGGCCTGCCAAGCAGCCCGGAGGCTCTCAAATTCAGAACTCGGTAGCCCAGACAGCCATAGACAGAGGGACATTTCCTTCCATACCAGACATATCCCATAATGCTCAATCTCTCTTCACCAAATCTGTTAGAAAGTTCTAGAAATGGGCCAATCCCAAGAACAATTACATGATTTCTAAAAAATTTCTTTAGCCCCCTGTTAATGTCATCATTAATAATAGTGGCAATAACTTATTGAAACCCCTCGCGGACCATGTCCAGTGCTTTATACACACTGGCTATTGATCGTTTCCTGCCACATACTTCACCCGCTTACAGCTGGGGAGTGCGTTTGGAGGTAGTAAGTACCAGCAAGCGGTGGATCAGATCCCTGGCTGATTCCAAATGCTGTGATCTTTCCGCCACACCCACCCTGCCTCCTATAATTACAGGAAAAAGGAAAAGAAAGAAAGGGAGACCTCCTTTCTTAGGGGTTTTCAAGAATAAAAGACACCAAACAGCCACGTGGGAATAACCTGTGTCTCCTTCCTCACAGGTGGTGTGGGTGACAGCTACCTTCCCTTACATCGTCCTTGTGGTCCTGCTAGTGAGGGGGGCCACCCTCCCTGGAGCCTGGAGGGGTGTTCTCTTCTACTTGAAACCAAACTGGCAGAAACTCCTGGAGACAGAGGTAAGATGATAAGGAAAATGGTGTGCACCTATCTGTCGTTTTACCAAGCGAAGCTAGTCCTCCAAATAGGATAATAGCAACAAGTAAAATTTGGGTTCAATGGCAAGTTTGCAATGATGCTTTTATTCAGAAATACAAGCATGAAAAGTACAGTCGAGGGCCCTGGGTTGGTTTATGCCTACGTGATAAGAAGAGAAATCGCATTTGTTTGCATCTGAGATGTGGCCATCCCTGTAACGGGCCTGGAGAGCTGCTTCTTTGTATCTGTACACAGCCAAGAGGGTGCTGGCCCTGCTGGTACCACGTGTTGGCCCAGGTCTCAGCCCTTACCTTACTTCTGCTGTGTTCCAGGTGTGGGTAGCTGCTGCCTCTCAGATCTTCTTCTCTCTTGGTCCTGGCTTTGGGGTCCTACTGGCTTTTGCTAGCTACAACAAGTTCAACAACAACTGTTATCAGTGAGTATCACGGGCCCTCCAAGCAAAGCTGAAAAGTGGGATGAATATATATCAGCCGGTTGGGAGGAACCGAAGGCCTCCATCCTGGCTGGGCTCAGGCCATGTTGACACTCTGGCCCTCAGAGGTGCCACAGGTCCCTGACCAATTCACCCACAGCCAGAGCCTCATCCGGGCCACTCAGGGGTTGAGAGAGGCCCCAGGCCACTTCCACTTTGTGAGAGTCTCTGTCTACTAAAAACATTAATTCAGAAATTCTAATGCAGGCTTACAAAAATTATAACAGACACTAAATGTTAATATTTGACTTATTGTATTTAACAACACAATTATAATGTGATAATTTGTTTATATAGGATGTACCGCCCCTCAAAAAAAATGTATACGTACTTTGAATAATTATTAATTCCAATAGGTTAAATCTGAAAAGAAAAAAAAACATTAATTGAGCTATTAACAATGTATGTGTATACATTTTTTTGGACATCCTATATATATATATATACACAAAAGAATGATTGAACTATGTTGACCAACACAAAATGCCATAATTTTTGTGGCAAATCTTATTTCAGAAATGTTGACAAAACAGAGAGCATTGCACCAATTATGATTTAAATATCACTCATCATCTTTAGAGTGGGCTTTGTTTTAATGTTCTATCACAGATGGCAAGGTGCAGCAATCAAATTATGCTAGTCATAAGATAATTACAGAACTTGTTTTTGTGTGTGTGTGTGTGTGTTTTAAATGAATTTACATACAACCCAAGAGATATGGCCTTGCGTTAGGACACCAGCCAGAAGTCCGATGATGAGCTCTTATGTTAAAAGTGTCAGAATATCACCGCGGCAGCCTTCTAACCTCATTTGCAAGTCGAAATCTGAGGACTTAACAAATGTGAGGCCAAGGTCCCCGTCTGGCTCCCACTGCAGCCCAGGCCCCACTTCAGAGCAGCCGTGTTTGAAACCGAGGGGTGGACGCTGTGCTGGTTTGCAACAGGACTGCATTTGAAACTCCCCCTAAGCTGCGGTCCTCCCTGCATGCGTGCCGACCATGGCAGCTTGTGAGGCCGGGCGCCTGGAGTCGGGGAGGGGACACCAGCACAGGCTTGAAGTCCCTGTGAGCGCAGCCTGCTCACCCTTGCCCCAGCTGGAGGCAGATGCTCCTCAGACTCCTGACTTGGAAACGCCTCAGCCCCTTGGGTTTTCTGCTCCAGAGACGCCCTGGTGACCAGTGCGGTGAACTGCATGACCAGCTTGCTCTCGGGGTTTGTCATTTTCACGGTGCTTGGATATATGGCTGAGATGAGGAAGGAAGATGTGTCCGAGGTGGCCAAGGATGCGGGTAGGACCTTTGTTCTGTTTAGGTCCCTCACTCCCGATGAATTGCTTTGCTGCTCATTGGATCTTTTCAGTATCTAACTTTTGAGTGATTTCTAAATGTTTCTTTTAAAATTTCCAAAGATTTTAGAGAGATTTAATGCCTCGGGGAGCTCAACCCTTTCCAGGCCATGGTGGGAATGGGGCGGCTCCCTTGTACCCAGTACTGGGGTCTTGACTACACTGTGGGCCTCTCCTCTCTCCCCTCTGTCTCAGGCCCCACTCTCCTCTTCATCGCATACGCAGAAGCCATCGCCAACATGCCGGCGTCCACATTCTTTGCCATCATCTTCTTCTTGATGTTAATCACACTGGGCTTGGATAGCACAGTGAGTGAACGGGGAGGGGAATCTGGCTCTGGGCAGGCAGAACAGGAGCGGGGAAAGGAGGGGAGGAGGAAGGGGAGGGGATGGAGGAAGTTGTACCCATTCCCTTCCAATCTGGCCTGTTCCACCCCCTCCTCCCCCCAACCCCCGTCCCAGGGGCTCCCCCAGCCCATTGTTCAATCCTCATCAACTGTGCTTATCATCCTCCAGTATCCTAGAGAGTCATTAATGGGGTGACTGTGTGTATGTACACAAGCACAGGCCAAGGGCTCAGCATATGTAAACTGTTATTACTGTGCACTGTCCCTTGACCAGATGGCAGCAGCTTGACCAGATGGCCAAGGCAAGGTCCCTCTGTGTCTCTGTGCCCTGCCACCCAACATTCAGCCTGATGCTCTGCACTTGGCTTTGAGCTGGCTTTCCTGGGGCAACGAAAGGCTCCCCAAGAGACCTCACATAAAAAGTCCTGTCCATATGCTATATTTTCTTTCCTTCATCTCCTTTGCGGTGGGTTCTAAGTCAGAGTGTAGACAGAAAAATATACTTCCAGGGAGGGCTGACGAATAGGGGGAAGTGGTCACTCGGCAGTCTTGTCTCTCCCTCCTGTTTGCTGTCCTAGGAGGTAACAGATTTGTCCCAAAGCCTCCCTGTGACCATCTGTGTGCGTGTCTCAGTTTGCAGGCTTGGAGGCGGTGGTCACCGGTGTGCTGGATGAGTTTCCCCACATCTGGTCCAAGCGCCGGGAGTTGTTTGTGCTTGGTGTGGTCATTACCTGCTTCTTTGGGTCCCTGGCCACCCTGACCTTTGTGAGTACCACGACCCTCAGCTTTGAGTCGGCCTCGCCAGAGGCAACAGAACACTACATGAAGCCGCTCCTTTCCTCCCATCCCACATGGAGCCCTGGCTTTGGGGCTTATAAAAGGCTGTGACTGCTTATAAAAAGCTTGCCGTCGAGGATAAAAAGAAAAGCTGGTTCTGGTGGCGCCTGTTGGTAGAATCTGTGCTAGTTATCCGGAGGCTCTTCACATTTTACAGGAAATCCAATTAGATTTCAGGGTTGGCAGGATATCTTGAGAAAAACTAAGATTTGCTTTTCCGGTTTATTTCCAGTCCTTAGAGCTGCTTTCATGGCAATAACGCCCTCATGTCTTCCTATGCGGAACATCTGGAGGCTGGTGTCCCATGTTTGTAATGTCACCTTGTCTCCTCCAGAGAATTCATAATGGTGAAGGAGTGAGACCCTCTCTAGGGTTTGTTTGTCTGTTTGCTGCTAGATGAAGCAAATACTGTACAACGGGCATTAGGTAGTACCCATAGGATCCCGGGCTTGTGTCCTGGCTCAAGGCAGATGTTGCAGATATGCATCTTCAAGCCATGACTCCAAAATCTGTGGAGCTTCGGTGGATGGTGACATCCTGAGCAGGACCCAAGGGGTTTGTGAGTTAGGACAGAAGGCGGAAGTGTGGCCAAGGTGCTCAGTGCGTCTGGAATTGTGGACTCTCCCAGATTCAGTCTTTAGGGACCGGGATTCTCCAAAGTCGAGTACGTAGTAGGTGTTTGGTAAATTGAAGAAAGTTGATCAAGGCCCTTTTGAGTTAGTCCCTTAGAACTAAGTGGGGAGAGGAGACAAGAAGAGAGTGCTCCCTAGGGAAGAAGAGGTGTCTGAGGGGGCGAAATCTGGCCCAGCCCGGGAAGGCCACTCTGAGAGATACTTACATTAGGTCCAAGGTGGGCATTTTCCAGAATTATCCTTAGTTAAGAAGCTTCTTTTGGCCCCTACGAGAAAGCAGAGGCAATGCCTCAGGGGGCCCCTAACCAGGGTCCCGATCTCCTTTCCAGGGCGGGGCCTACGTGGTGAAGCTGCTGGAGGAGTACGCCACGGGGCCCGCGGTGCTCACCGTTGCCCTGTTAGAAGCCATTGCTGTGTTTTGGTTCTACGGTAAGATGCTTCCTTCCACCAGCCACTGTCCTTTCTACACCAGCCCGAAGCCCCAAGAATAGAAAAGGGCTGATTTCACTAAAGGGCAGGGCAGTGTGCAAGATGCCACCTCCCTGTAAGATAAGCTCGGCTGAGTGCCTTCTTCCAAAACAGGGCACCATCTCCTCAGCACTGTCTACAGCGGGTTGCTCATACCCTTGGGAGGACATTTTTTCTTTCTGAGTTTAAATGTCTACCCAGTGGAGACAGGCTAAAGCGGTTTCCTAACAGTTCAGCCACAGCGGATGCTTAAGATCCTGGCTGGCTCTAAGAGCTGGACACAACATGAGGAACTGGCGCACAGTGATTGCACTTGCAGAGTGGACTGTTGTATAGAGTGGCCCTCAATTTAAATTTCGCAAGTAAGAGCTCCCTCCAAGCCCTGTTTAAGAGGCAGAGTTTAAGAGCTTAGTTTCTAGGGAAGAGGCAAGAATGTTCCTGTTTGGATTATCTGCCCTAAAAAAAAACTAAACAAAAAACCCACACAACTCTTCTGGTCCTGGGATGGAATCTGATAAGGGTGAAACCAACAGGAACAGAGATAGTGAGCTGACACAGGTCCATTGGCAGGAGTCCCAAGAGCCTCTGGGTGGGATGGGGAGGGCACTGGCAATTGAAGTGAATAAAAGACAGCAGGTTCAGAGATGCCTGTCTTTATCTTTAAAATCAAGGAGTGATTGCTTCATTCTGAAATGTATTCATTTTCCTAGTTTCTATGATAGTAAATCAGCATAAGCTGCTCGTCCTTCTGCATAATATGAGGAAGGGGTCCCCATATTTTGAGTTGCATGTGAGTTCAGTTTTTTAAAAAGAAGTCCTCCCCATCTCCTCAGCAGTTCAGACAACAAAGTGTGTGCATCACTGTAGACCTGCCCGAGCTATTGCTGGGTGCTCTCAGGGAAGTAAACACAGAGCTATTTCCCTCCCCCTTCTCAATTTCTCACCAGTCAGAGTCTCACTTCTATTCCATGCCATTTCCTTTATAGAGGAACCTTGATTGCGACCTGGCACGTGAATGGACCATAGTGTGGTTAAAATTTCCTCTTGGAAGTTTCCACTACATGGTTAACATGGTCCACGTCAGTCTCTGTTGAGCAGGCTCATCATTCCTAGGCAAAATTTAACTTTCTTTTGGACAGTAACAATAAAATAAATATATGCTGAGATCTTAGAAAGGCAGTGTGGGCACCAAGAGGGGGCTTTCGGTTTCTCCCTGAATGTCCACCTACTCTCCCACTCTGTGTTGCTTGCTATGAAATGAAGTTCTGTGACAAGTCCCCCTGTCCCACTTTCAGACCAGATTGGAGCCCTGAGCCCCTCCCATGAGAAATTTCAGAGCTGCTTCTTCTCTGAGAATCAAGGGATCAGACAGTCCATGTCCGCTTCCTGTCGCTCAACCTCTCTCTCTTTCGGATGACTGTAGGCATCACTCAGTTCTGCAGCGAAGTGAAGGACATGCTGGGCTTCAGCCCTGGGTGGTTTTGGAGGATCTGCTGGGTGGCCATCAGCCCTCTGTTTCTTCTGGTGAGTTGTCATTTTCCTCCTTCTGGCCCTGGAGAAAGGTCCATGTAAACACATCAAAAATAAATTTTATCGAAGTGTAACATATACACAGAAAAGGGTACAAATCCTAAGTGCCCATCTCAATGAAGTGTTATAAATTGAGCACACTTTTGTAGCCAAGACCATACCAAGAAACAGAAATAGGGCCAACACTTCAGAAGCCCCTCCTGTGTCCCCTCCCAGTCGCTGTGAGCCCCATGGTTAGCCACTCTTCTGACACAGAGTCATCTGGGCCTCAGTCACCTTATTGCTTCACTCCCCTGTTCAGCAATGATGATAAATAACATTTATTGAATATTAAGGACCAGGCCTTAGTGCAAAACTTATGCACCCATTGCTCTTTTAATCCTCACAATAATTCCATGAAGTAGTATAGTTCTAATACCCTGTTGTACATTGAAGGAAAATGGGGCTTAGAGATGGTAAGTAAAGGATCCAAAGTTACATGACAAGTAAGAGCTGTTCAAGGCCGGGGAAGAGTTTATCCTGAGGCCCTGGGAAGGGTTCCGGTAATATTGTGTCCATTTTTAAAAATATATATATTTCAGAGAGGAAGGGAGAGAGACATAGAAACATCAATGAGGAGAATCATGGATTGGCTGCTTCCTGCACGCCCCCTACTGGGGATCGAGCCCGAAACCCAGGCATGTGCCCTGACAGGGAATCAAACCGTGACCTCCTGGTTCATAGGTTGATGCTCAACCACTAAACCACACCGGCCGGGCAACCACACAAATAATTTACATTATTGTCTTCTTTATGACTATAAAATAATTAAATTAAATCTAGAGCGAAAATGATGTTAGCATAGTGGACACTAGGTAAAAACTGATATTTATGCCATCGGTTTCCCTAAAAACCAAACTGAAATAAGAAAACTCCGAGCCTGAACGTTGGAAGCATGACATGGAGTTTTTCTTGGTCAAAATTTTCACAGAATTTTCAAGTAAAGAGTGTATTAAGCTGCGTTTTCCCTCCGTTACTCCTTTCATGATGAGGGCCGATGGCAGGCAGTCATTCATTGTTGAGACACCTCAAGGCACAGCCGGCCTTGTTGAAATCCCAGGCTTAAGGCGGAAAGCAGAGAGTCCGGGGAGAGGAGGAACACAGACCCAGGAGTCCAAGTCCTCTTCGGGTCTTAAGAACCTTATTATCAGCCCTGGACATAGGTACCTTCCATCTGACCAAAGAAATCACAGCCGAGGAGTGCAGGAGGAAATGAAAGCAAAGCAAAGAGGAATAGGAAGCCTGAAGCCTGGCAGGGGCTGTGGAGGGGCTGCCCAGCTTATTGCTCCACCGTCTGGTTCGAGGAGCCCAAACACTTCTGACGGATGCCAGTCTCTTCCCCTTTGCCCTGAATGGGGAGCTGTAATTCCCTTAAATAACATTCTGAGGCCTTGGCATCCCCACGGTGGAGGTTGAGGTGGGGGTTAGGGGGGAATCAAGATAAGCACCTGGCTGTTTTATTTTCACAGAAAATTAGGCACAGAAATTAGTGAATTTTTTATATGAGCGTTCAGTCTAAGATATATCATATTTGGGGAATTTCCCGAAAGTATCTTAGCTTTACACTTGGTGTTCATGGTACCAGAACTATCTCTGGCTGCACAGATGTTATTTTTAATGTTTCTTGGAATTTCTGTTTTAGTTTGTCATTTGCAGTTTTTTGATGAGCCCACCACAGCTACGACTTTTCCAGTATAATTATCCTCACTGGAGTATCATCCTGGGTTACTGCATCGGAACCTCGTCTTTCATCTGCATCCCCATATATATGACTTACCGGCTGATCATCACTCCAGGGACACTGATGGAGGTGTGTGCATGTGTGTGCGTGTGCATGTGTGTGTGTTCAGACTGGTAACTGAGGAGAAAAGGGTTCGCATGTTATTCACAGGAGGTAAGTCCCCCACATACACCATGCAGACCTCTGATGGCTGCCACTGTCAGGCATTCCCCATAAGCCTCAAATACAACAGCAAAGGAGCGAGCTGGAAACTCAAGAGCACCGTAGTGTGCAGCACGGGGTGTGAGTAGCGTCCTAAACTTACCGGATAACTACTTTACCTCCTGCTTGCCATTGGCGTGGACATCAAATTTGTGGTGTCTGGGGCAATACACACATTTTGATTTAAGTGGAGATCATGGTGGGAAATGTCCATGGTCATTTTTTCTAACAGCAATGTAACAAGGGCTATTTTGAAAACCATCACTAAATAAGGCTGTTGCAATAACATCATAGTTTTAGCTTAAGCCACTAGAGTTAAAAAAAAAAAAAAAGTTGCCATTATAGGAAGGTTTGTTTCTTTAATTAATAATGGGCTCTAACATTTTTAATAACAGAACATGAAAATTTGTATAAGATTGTATTTTTTTCCAGGGCATCTTCATGTAGATTATCCCATTTTGCCATCAAAATACCTTGTGAGGTAGGTGGGCAGGTATTATTAGGAGACAAAGGTATGGAGGCTGAGGATAATGCTGCTCAAAATTTCCTTATTTCGGTGACTTGTCCAAGGACCCACAGTACAGGGAGGCTCAGAATCCAGGCCTTCAGATTCCCGAGCCAAGGCCCTTTCACTCTAGGTGCAGTTTCTCTTGTGTCCTCAGTTTGCCTTTAAGAGTTTGCTAGGTGTAGACATTGGTGCT